CGTCGGCAACTAGAAGGAGACCCGAAGCGAGAAGGGTGCCTTATAAAGGTAGGAGGGTTTCCCTATGGTTAGCAACTCGTTCGCTTATACTCTCTTACATATCCGCAACGTAACAAGTAACCATGGCTTCAGAGCCAGGAGGTACGACAGCGGTTGATGCTGCGCGTACTGAGAACTGTTTTATGGGCGACGGCTGTGAGTCGCACCTCGGCGTGAGGATATGTGAATTTGTTCCTTACCCATAACGAAGAGACGCTCCTGATAGTCTACAGACCACGAGGGTAGGCGACCAAGGACATCGTTGCCGAGACGAACGCACTTATTTGTCGCCAGCGGCTGGTCCCACGCGCGCGCAACTTTGAATTCAAACGCGCTGTGTGCATGTGCACAACACTCTGAACACCGTAATCTCTCCTGGTCTATTATATACGAACGAACGAATAAACTATGTACTGAATGGATAACCTTATTTTCTCTTATAGTGGGTAAGCGCGCTGCTCCAGAGACACGGTGTCACATGCTGGAATCCACACAAGTTGATTATATCAGTTTTTCTAACATTCTCTTTTGACTACATTCTTTTTGCCCCTGCATGTTCCATCAGAACGGCGATCTCATAGGTGAGTTTTCACATTTCCTGAATTCTAATATTTGTGAATGCGTCGCCATTTTCTCCGTGCTTTCATTTTCGATCCCATTCTACATTACCCTTTCTTGAACCTGTCTTGCATGCACTTTATATATCCCCTTCACATTACCATTGCTTTGTGGCGTAGAGAATCATCAGGTTTCTGTCATGGCTTCCGAGATATTCGCGGTGAATGCTGTTACGCGAACCCTTCGGAAAACCACGAGATGACCTGAGGTGTTGAGCAAAACTTCTTTAGGCAGCGTTCAGACTTTTAGCGCTACGCCGCGCTACAGCTGTAGCGCTACTGTACCGAAGTCCAGCTTCCATTTTTGTTTTTTTTTTCTGAATTCAATCCCTTTCCCTTCATTTCTCATTTTATGTGTTCCTGAGCCCCTCTTCCTTTTCAGGGAGGGGATGGGGTGTGGGGGGGGGTTGCCGAGGGTTCGTGGATCACGAGTATTAATATTGGTTTTGGTTGCGCACTGGCGCCATCTGGCGCCAGATGGCGGCCAGTGACGCACGCAGTGTTCCACGCTGTGTTCCAT